TGGTGTAACCACAGGTAGGATGCCCACTCACGCTCTGTAAATACACCGAGTTAAAATCATTGGGTCATCAAAAGGAAAGAAAAGACATGAAGGTGATAGAAGAGGGACTATTTGAGAAGAGGAAGGGAATCAGTGTGAGGGGGACAAGAAAGGATGATGGGGTGAATATGATCAAAATACACTAGACAGACATAAGAAGAAGCCCACTATTGCAGGGCATGGTGGCTCCCTGGAAGGTGGGTCTCTCTGAGTCTGAGGCTAGTCTGGTCTACGTAGGGAATTCCAGGCCAGCCAAGGCTACGAAGTGACACCCTATCTCATACAAACAAACAGCTGGAGAGATGTCTCAGTGGTTAAGAGCACTGGCTTCTCTTCCAGAGAACCCAAGTTCCATTCCCAGCACCCTCGTGGTGGCTCACAACCACCTGTCATTCCAATATCAGGGGATCCGACATCCTTTTCTGACCTCTGAGGGCATGAAGCATAAACATGGCATGCAAACATATAGGCAAAAAACTCACATATATAAGACAAATAAAATCATAACTGGGTGTGGTGGCACCTGCTTCTAATCCCAGCACTCGGGAGACAGAGGCAGAAGCAGGCAGATCTGGCTGAGTTCAAGGCCAGCCTGGTCTACAAATTGAGTACCAGGATAGCTAGAGAGCTACATAGTGAAACACTGTCCAGAAAGAAAGAAAAAAGAAAAGAAGAAAGGAAAAGAAAGAAATAATGGCAAACAAAATAAATTTCTTATTATATGTAATTAATATATGCTAATAAAAACCCTTAAAAGAAAGAGGGTGAAGATTAGCCATTTATAGGTGAGCAGATGAAAACATTGGCCATTCAGGCCTCAGCAGAATCAAGCTCCTCTGGACTCACCCTTGGTGTTTTTAGCTGATTTCATGTCTTTTCTAGCCAAGGCCTTTTGTGGCTTTTACTTTCATATTGTACCCAACTGCACCGTGCTATTTATTTATTCGCTTCTTTATTGACTTAGATGGAGGCTGTGCTATGTAGCCTAGGCTGGCTCCAGACTCCTCTGTTAAGGGGCCCTCCAGCTTCAGCTTCCCAGGTACCAGGGACTGACAGATGTTCCAGCTTTGCCTGGCTCATGTACTGTTTCCTTTTCTTTTCTTTGAACTTGAACCCAGGGCCTCATGTGTGCAAGGCAAAAACTCTGCCAACTGAGTTACTGGGGCTAGAGATGTGGCTCAGAAGTTAAGAGCATTTGCTGCTCCTGCAGCAGACCTGAGTTTGGTTCCCAGCATCCATGGCAGGTGGCTCACAACTGCTTATAACTTCAGCTCCAAGGGATAAGACCCCCTTGGCCTTGGGGGGCACTTATACACACATGTGCACACCCCTCCCACATACTCATGACTAAAAGTAATAAAAATAAATCTTGGAAAGGATTATCGGTGGCTGTGGTAAATTAGCATATGTGTTGTTTAGTTAAAAAGTTAGCAAGTGGGGCTGGAGAGATGACTCAGTTGGGAAGATCAGTGGCTGCTCTTCTGAGGACCTGGGTTCAATTCCCAGCACCCACATGACAGCTCAGAACGGTCTATAACTGTAGTTCCAGGGCATTTGTCATCCTCACACAGATACACGTGCAGGCAAAGCACCAATGCACATAAAATAAAAAGAATAAAAATATAAAAAATTAGCAGGCTTATGAAAGTCTAGCCCTGTTAGGGAGTTTTATGAGCACTTTACTTGTATTAACTCCAGTCTCAAGACAACCATCAGAGGCCGGGGTGACTCTTGCTGTTAGCCCTGTTTTGGAAATAGGGAAACTGAGGTAGAGATTATTCGAAGGCCACTCAGAATTAAACGTTGAAGCTCCGGAGTTAGTTGAGCGACTACTACAAGGTGAAAAAGAGACAGAGGTGGCACGTGCACTTGGGGCTTCTAGTATAGGGCTGTTTTTTGTGGATTTTTTTGTTTTGTTTTTAATGTGTATGAGTATTTTGCCTGCATGTATGTCTGTGTACCACATACATGCCCGGTGCCCAAAGAAGCCGGATCCCTGGGAACTGGAGTTACAGATGGTTGTTAGCCACTATTTGGGTTCTAGGGAATAAACTCAGGTCCTCTGGAAGAATAGCCTGTGCTAACCACTGAGCAATCTCTCATGGGGGCTTCTGGTTTAGAGGCGTCTCAGGCTTCAAAATTGTAGGATGCATTTCCTGCATGTGGGACCTTAAGACGATGTTATCCTTTCTCTTCTCCCTCCCCCTTCCCCGCCCCTTCCCTCTCCTCCCTTCCCATTCCTCCCCTCCCCTCCTCTTCCCTTTTCTCTCTTCCCCTTTCCCTCTTCTCCTTTCTCTCTCCTTCCTTTCTTTAAGACAGGCTGTCATATAGCCCAGGCTAGCCTCCAACTGGCTACGTAGGTGAGGATGATCTTGAACTCTTGATCTTTAAACCTTTACCTCTCAAGTGTTGGGATTACAGGCATGCACTACCACACCAGACTTTTCCTTTTTGCCACAAGGTCTTACTGTATAGCTCAGACTGGACTCAAACTCAGCTATCCCCTTGCATCAGCCACTTGAGTGCTGGAATTACAGCCATGCACCACTACACCCTGCTCCTTTCCTCCTTTCCATGCAGGCCTGTGCTCGAAGGTACCCCCTCTGAGGGCTACCTACATGAACAGCTGCATCCTGCTAAGTGGCTTCTGGGTTAAGTCCGTGCTGTGACTCTTTAAAAAGAAGCACGGGATGAACATGAAGCTAAAAATAGCCCAGGATCAATTAAGGGATGGGGCTTGTCTTCCCTTTTGATCCCTCTCCCCTAGGGCCTGTAAATTGCTGCTGTTGGACAGCTGGGCTGGGGCTGGCTTCTTGTGAAGCTGTGATAATGTGGAATTATCCTCCCTGCCAGCCTCCCCAGGGCAAGGATGTGATGCTGGGACTCTCACCACAGGCATCTCAGAGCTGGAATCCTTGTCCTCTGCTTGGTCCACTTGGTCACACAACTCTACCTCAGATGTATCTGAGGCTGGTGTCAGCCTAGCTTTCATGAGTCTTAGGCAGGAGTATTGCCAGTTCTAGGCCAGGCTGGGCTAAATACTCAGACCTTGTAACAGATGAGATAACTGGACAGTGATATAATCCTGGACTTTGCTTCTTAGGGAAGAGGCCTGGAAAAAACTCTTGGTTTCTTAGAGGATGAAGCTCACTGCCTCTGGGCTGGGCAACCAAGGAGCTTCAAATTTGCTGCCTGCATGGAAGACCTTGCAGGATGATGAGCAGGCAAGGCCCAGGAGCTCCAGCTGACTGAGTCCTTGGCAGAGACTTGCAAGCTGGCTGCTCACTCAGGGTTTTGTTTGAGTGGCTCCCAGCTGTCTCTGTGAATTTAGTTTGTCCCCTCACCACTGCTGGCAACCCACATCCTACATGAGAAGACTTAAAATCCCACTGTTTGCATCCCAGAACCTGACAGGGTTGAGGAGCATCTGAAGAACTGACCTCTGTTCTTCCCTGTGAGGTCACTCTTGTAGAGTTCTCCTAGGGATGGGGTGTGGATCCTTTCCCAATACCTCAGCTACTTGGAAACTGTCAGCAAAGGCCTTGGCCACCTATGTTTGAGTGGCATTATAAAGGGGAGAAAGAGATCTCCAAGGGACAATGGGCTTAGAGCTCTCCACTTACAGGTACATAGAATGTGGCTAAGGGATGGAAAATTCCAGGTAGAAGCTTGGAAATCCCCAGTATAGGAAAAACTGGAAGGGAAGTCCCACACTTCTTCCTCTCCTGTACCCTTTGGCATCAGCCAAGACCGGGGTAGGGTTCCTGAGTCCTGGCTCTGGTTGTTGGGCTGTTCCCAGTCTTGACTGTAAGAACTGGAGTGTGGGTCAGTGGTAGAGCCCCTGCCTAGAATCCCCCAGTGAGGAGCTTAGGGTGTGGCTCAGTGGTAGAGCCCCTGCCTAGAGACCCCCTAGCACAAGAAAAAAAAAAAAAGAATCCCAGAAAAAAATCATCCGGCATTGACTGTATGTCACCTTGTCCTGGGGTAGCTTTAAAATGCTAATGCCTGTTTAGAAGTAGGTGACATCAGAAACCCTGGGATTGGACCAGGGTCTCAAATGGTTGCAATGCAGAGGCCTGGGATCCAGAGTTACCCTGCATGCCCTGTCCCTATGAGCTTTGAACTTGCCTGAGACCTGGAAGCCTATTCTCAATACACCACCCCCCTAAAAAAATTATTTTAAGAAAGCTAGGCATAGTGACAAAGGCTTTATAATTCAAGCACCAGGAAACTGGAGACAAGTGGATGCCCAGAGCCTTTTGGCCAGGCAAATTAGCCTCCAGTGGGCCCCAGGCCAATGAGAGACCCTATCTGAAAAATTAAGGCAGGGGCCTGGCATGGTAGCTTGCACTTTTAGTTCCAGCACTCAGGAGGCAGAGGCAGGCAGGTCTCTTGAGTTTCAGGCCAGTTAGGGATATATAGTGAGACCTTGTCTCTAACTAAATACATAAAACTTAAATAAGGTAGACAGTTATCTTAGGGTTTCTATTGCTGTGATGAAACACCATGACTAAAGAAAGCACTTCCACATCACTGTTCATCACTGAAGGAAGTCAGGACAGGAAGTCAAACAGGGCAGGAACCTGGAGGCAGCAGCTGATGCAGGGGCCATGGAGGGAGCTGCTTAGTGGTTTGCTACTTGTGACTTGCTCAACCTGCTTTCTTATAGAACCCAGGACCACCAACCCAGGTGGTGGCGCCATCACCCACAATAGGTGGAACCCTCTCCCATTGATCACTAATTAAGAAAATGCCTCACAGCCTGATTTTGCTAAGTGATTTTATAGGTTGAGATTCCCACCTCTCCGATGATCCTAGCTTGTGTCAAGTTGACATAAAACTAGCCAGTATAACAGCACTTGGTGAACAGTACCCAGGTTGATCTCTGCCCTCCACATGCATGAACACAAACAACCCCCCTGCACCCCCCCACACACACACACAGACATACATACCGAGGCTGAGTCCTCTGGGTTTATATTCTTTAGTGGGTACCAAAAGATAAGACACTTGGAACTCCTCAACTGTCCCTCCTAGGATCCAACCAGCCCTTAGCCAGACCAGGAGGCCACACTTCCAGACACCTTATGTCAATGACGATGCTGCTAGGCTCGTGGGGGCAGTGCCCCAGACCGACCTTGGATGGGATAACTATAGAGCACTTGACCTTTGCTGGCTCTGAGTGGTACTTCAATCTTCTTCTCATTATTCATTGATGCCAAAGCTCTCAGCCTTCCCCAGGGACATCTCTGACATCCCCAGCTGGTGCCCAGAGAGTGCCCTGGGGCAGACCTGTCTTCGCTGATGACCTCTCTTCTAAAGGACAGACAGTCAGAAGAAAATGATTGGAGTCTTTGTCGGGCTGAATTGACCCATGCAGAAGTGGACAGTGGCTGTAGGAGGAAGCAGACATTACTGCTTATGGGTGGCTTGAGTGAGGCACTGTCTTCATTGTGGCCCAGCCTCCAGGCTGAGTGATAGATAGGGCTGCACAGACACGGCCTGTAGGGTTGCAGGTGGGCGAGCATCCATCCTGTGGCAAAGCACGGATACACAGAATCTATTAGGTGGAATGCAGGCTCAGGCAGCATTAACTGGGCTTCTTTGTTTTATGGTTGTTCTGTGTGTGATGCACAGACACATACAGGTGTCTACAGGCTAGAGGTCAGTATCAAGCCGTTAATCCCAGCACTCAGAAGGCAGAGGCAGGCACACTACTGTGAATTCGGGGCCAGTCTGGGCTATATATCAAGTTCCAAGACATCCAGGGCTACGTAGTGAGCAAAAATTTTTAAATTACATCTTATGTATTGTGTGTGCAATGCTCATGCACACACATATTATGCCCCAGTGCTCATGTGGAGGTCAAAGGACAGTTTTTGGGAGTGGGTTCTTCCCCTCCACCAGCACTCGGCCAAAGCTGCTGACATTCTGCTTTTTCGGATCTGGGGATCAAACTCAGGTCATCAGGTTTAGCATCAGATACCTTTACCCACTGAGCTGTCTCTTGCTTTTGAGGCAAGGACCCTCACAGAACCTGAAATTTATTCAAGTAGTCTAGACTGGCTGGTCACTGAGCTCTAGGGATCCTTCTGTCTCCACCTCCCCAGCTCCTGGGATTACAAGCATGCGCTGTAGTGCTTGGCCTTCCTATTGGCTGCTGAGGATTAAACAGGTCCTCTCATTGGCTGTTGAGGATTAAAAAGGTCCTTATGTTTATTCAGCAAGGACACATGGCACAGTCTCATGGAGCCCAGGCTGGTCTCTAACTCATCTAGCTGAGGATGACCTTGAATTTTTCATCCTCCTGCCTCCAAATCTTGAGTACTGGGTAACAGGTATGCCACCATGCCCTGTTCATGTGGTGCCTGGGACGGACTCAGATCTTCACGTGTGCTCAGCAAGCACTCTACAAATTGAGCTTCATCCTCAGTCCTGTAACTAGGTCTTTATAGAGTTGCCTTTGCCAGGACTTGGGTGCTGCCATGCCAATGCCCTTGAGGGAGATTTGTGGAGTTTGAAGTCCACCCTCCTGTTTGGTCTGTTAGGCAAACACAACACATATGGGGTTGTCCTTCCCTCAGATGTTTGTGGCAGGTCACCATGGGACCTGAGGCCGCAGCACCTGCTGTGGGGGTCAGCTCAGGACTCAGCCAGAGCTGCTGACATTCTGCTTTTTCAGGACCACAGAGGGTGACAAGACTGGGGATCAGCCATGTCATTTAGAATGCTAAACTTGTCTTTCTGAGGATAAGTCCAAGAAATCCAGGGCTGTCCAGGACACCCTCCTGGAGACCAGCTGGAAGTTGCTTAGCTCCACCCTATTGCCCCTGTGTGTGGTGATTAATCTTGATTGTTTGCTTGATGAGATTTAGAGTCTTGAGTCCTGGGCCAGCAAGATGGCTTGGCTGGCAAAGGTGGTTGTCACCAAGCCTGACAACCCAAGTTTAATTCCCAGGACACATAATTGTGGAAGGAGAACACTAACTCCTTCAAGCCACCCTTGGACCTTCCGCATGTTCTTTGTGTCTCTGACATACACTGCACACACACACACACCTACCTATCAGGTGTGGTAGTGGATGCCTCTCATCCCAGCACTTGGGAGGTAGAGGCAGTCTTATCTATGAGTTTGAAGCCAGCCTGGACTACATATTGAGTTCCAGGTCAACCAGGGTTGCACAGTGAGAACCTATCTCAAAAATAGGCAAATAAAATGTATTAAATAGAATTGTGAAGGTGTTTCCAGAGGAAAGATCTACCCTGGATGTGATGAGCTGGGACCTCAGATTGATGACAAAAGACAATGTACTGGGAATGTAACACAGTGGAGACTTGCCTGGTGTCTTAGTCAGGGTTTTTATTGCTGCGAGGAGACACCATGACCATGGCAACTTTTTTTTTATCATTTTTTAAATTTGAGTTACAAACAAGATTGAATTATATGACAATCCCAGTTCCCTTCTCCCTCCCTTCCTCCCCTGCCATCCCCCCCATGGTAGCTCTTACAAAGGAAAACATTTCATTGTGGTGGCTCACTTACAGTTTCAGAGGTTTAGTCCATTGTCATTATGGTGGGACAGGGCAGCTTGCTGGCAGACATGGTGCTGGAGAAGGAGCTGAGAATCTTACATATTGACTTCAAGCAACAGGAAGTAGACAAGTATTGGGCTTGGCTTGAGCATATATGAGACCTCAAAGCCCATCTCCACAGTGACACACTTCCTCCAACAAAGCCGCACCTCCCAATAGTGCCACTCCCGATGAGATTATGAGGACCAATTGCATTCATACCACCACACCTGACAGGCACAAAGCCCTGAGTTCCATCCTCAGTACCTCACAAATGGGGCATAATGGGGCGAGCCTGTAACCCTGGCAGTCAGGAGGTGGAAGCAACAGGATCAGGAGTTAAATTTTTAAGGTCATCCTCAAGTATACACCAAGGTTGAGGTTAACCTAAGCTACATGAGATGCTGTTTCAAAACTAACAAGTTTTACCCAGTGACTTTCCTGGCCTCACCCCCTACCTCTGACCGATTCTGTAACAGCATATTATAAACGAACTAAATAATTAATCCATTGATTAGATCAGAGCCCTCAGGATACTTCTCTGGAGGCAGCTCTCAGGGAAGCTTAACCAATCTGTAGGTGGTCCTTTTTCTTTCTATTTACATTTTCCTGTCTTTTTTTTTTTTTTTAAGTTTGGCTTTTCTAGACAGATTTTCTCTCTATATCCCTGGCTATACTGGAACTCACTCTGTAGATCAGGCTGGCCTTGAACTCACAGAGATCTGCCTGCCTCTGCCTCCCTAGTGCTGGGATTAAAGGTGGGTGCCACCATTGCTCTCTCTCTCTCTCTCTCTCTCTCTTTCTTTCTTTCTTCTTTTTTTTTTAAAGATTTATCTTATAGTGGCTCACACCTTTAATCCCAGAACTCAGGAGAGGCAGGCTTATCTCTGCATTTGAAGCCAGGACAGCCACATCCAAGCCCACACAGAGAAATCTTGTCTCAAAAAACAAACTGAACAGCAACAAAGATTTATTATTTGTGTGTGTGCTCACATGGGTGTGCCATACAAGTGTATGCAAGTATCCACAAGGCCAGAAGTGTACATCAAATCCCCCAGAGCTGGAGTAAGAAGTATTTGTGAGCCATCAGTTGTGGTACTGAGACCCAAACTCCAGTCCTCTGATAGAGCATCAGTGAGCACCTCACTCACCGAGCTGTATCTTCACTCTTTTCTTACTCTTCTCCTTTACTTCCTCATTTCTTCCTTCTTTCCCTAGTTTTTCATTTTATTTGCTATTGGTGTGCACATATATGTATTGATGCATGTGTGCCATGGCAGACATGTGGAGGTCAGAGGACAACTTTGTGGAGACTGTTCTCTCCTTTCACTGTTCTATGGGCTGCAGGGTTAAAACTCAGGTTGTCAAGCTTTCACAGGCAAGAGCTTTCCAGTGATGGGCCATTTCTCTAGCCCACGCTGTATGTTTTGAAAAAGTGTATCATGTAGCCCAGGCTAGCCTTACACTCACTATGTAGCCAAAGACAACCTTGAATTTCTAATTCTCCTTCCTCTATCTCCTGAGTGCTGGGATTACAGGTATGTAGCACCATGATGGATTTATGTGACACTGGAATGGAGCTCAGGGCTTCATGCATGCTAGGCAAGCACTCTACCCACTGAGCCACAACCTAGTCCCATCTTTTCATTGCACAATTTAAAGCATACTGGACAAAGTTGAAGAAATTTAAGGTGGTGGTGCACACCTGTAACCCCAGCACTCTGGAGGCAGGTCAGGAGCTGGAGAGATGGCTCAGTGTTTAAGAGCACTGGCTGTTCTTTTCCAGAGGACACGGTGATTCTCAGCATCCAATACACATGGAGGCACACAACTTCTTATTTATACATACATACATACATACATACATACATACATACATACATACCTTTATTTTTTTTGTATGAGTGATTTGCCTTGCATGTATATCTGTTCACCACATGTGTGCCTGGTCCCTGTGGAGGTCAAAAGAAGACATCAGATCCCCTGGAACAGGAGTTACAGGTGGCTATGAGCCATTGTGTGGATGCTGGGAATCAAACCCAGGTCCTCTGTAAAAACAGCTAGTGCTCTTAACTGCTGAGCTATCTCTCCATCCCCACACCCCACACCCTATCTTTAACTCCAGTTCCAGAGGATCTATGCCTCTTCTGGCCTCCATGGGCACCAGGCACACATGTGTGCACAGACATACATGCAGACAACACACTCATACACATAAAAAAATAAATAGATAATTAATTCCCAGCCAGTATTAGCTACATAGATAGAGAGACCCTGTGTCAAAACAAAACACCCAAACATGGCCCACATGCCAGTGATTCCAGCATTTGGGAGGTAGAAGCAGGAGCTTCAGAAGATCAAAGTCAGCATGACTATGTAAAAGAACTGGAGGTCCAACTGGCCTGCGAGACCCTGTCTCTAAATAAGAAAAATAGGGGCTGTAGAGATGGCTTTGTAGGTAAAGGCACTTGCCACCAAGCTGGAAGGACCTAAGTCTGATCCCAAGAACCCACATGGCAGACGTAGAGAATTGGTCTTGAAAGTTGTCCTCCGACCTCCACACACACACATCATGGCACACACAGCCTCTCACCCTTGTGCACACATGCACACGAAACAAACAACTGTCTAAAAAGATACAAGAGGTTGGAAAGATGGCTCAGTGGTTAAGAGCACTGGCAGCTCTTCCAGAGGTCCTGAGTTCAATTCCCAGCACCCACATGGTGTCTCACAACCATCCGATATGAGATCTGGTGCCCTCTGCTGGTGTGCAGTTGTACATGCATGTACATGCACATAGAGCACCATATGCATAAAATAAATCTTTTAAAAATACACAAAAAGTAAAAGCAAGAACCTCCAGCCCATCCCTGCTTATCTGAGGTTCCACGGTCACTATTCCTTATAACTCTATCAGCCAGTGTCCATGCAGTCATAACGGTATATTCTGCCCCAGTCTACCTGATTGCCTTAGGGACTGAATGAGGCAACAACCAAAAGGTGTTTTGTAAACACTGCAGCCCTGCAGAGCTTTAATTTTAAAAACAATAGCATAACAACTAAGGCTACAAAGCCCCTTTGACTGGGATGGTAGTTTGATTACAGTTAAGTAACCTTATCTCTGAAATTTATCACCTCTGCAGCACAATACCCTGTAACAAGGCCTTGCCTGCCCTAGCTTGGCCCTCAAGGCGGTTGGTGTGGTATGTGTAGGGCTAGGCTGCACAAATCTGGTCACCAGTAGGTGTCAGCCTCCACCAGGGCACATCCGCCAGCTTCTGTGTAGGTTTTCTCTTTTCTGTAAAACTCTGTGGTGCTGGGACAGCACTGCCTCTGAGCCTTGGCCCCAGCCCCTCACTGGAGGATTCTAGGCAGGGGCTCTACCGCTGAGCCACACTCCAGCCCTCTTTATGCTTTTTATTTTGAGATAGAGTCTCACTAAATTGTTACAGATGAGCAGCCTGATGAAGAGGGAGGGGTGGAATGCTAGGAGAAGATAGACGGCAAGGGAGGGAGAGGAGGCCATAGCATTAAGGATTTTGGTACAAAATAAACCAAATTAGGATTTTCTTATTTATTTAAGGTAGGCTGGTGGGAAATTTAATTACTGTAAGAAGAATGAGAGAGGAAGAGACTAGATGCATGTGGATCAGTTCAGAGGATGGTTTTGTTTTAAAATTTTTATTATATTTATTTACTTATGGGGGGGCACACATTACTACAGTCCTATGCAGAGATCAGATCACATCTTCTAGGAGTTGGTTGACTCCTTTATCATGTGGGTCCTGGGGATTGAACTTAGATCCTTAGGCTTGTCAGCAAGTGTCTTTACCTGCTGAACCAGCTTGTCAGTCCCCAGAGGCTGTTTTTTAAAGGCACTTTTGCACAGGCCTTGCCTGTCCCTGTAAATGAAGGAAGTCATAGCCCTGCCCCTGGTTAGCCCGCCCTCCTTTGTCACAGCTTCAGGGTTCAATAACCCTATAGAAAACATCATAGCCCCCAGGCGGCTAAGGCTGAAGCAGGAGTGCCAGCACTTGCTGACCTTTGAGCATTGTGTGCATCTCCTATAACTGCTACAACAAAGCTGACCACAAGCTCGTAGTTAAAACATCAGAATTCTGGGGCCAGGGACATGGCTCAGTGGGTAAGATGCTTGCCACCAAGCCCAACCACCTGAGGAGCTGTGTTTGATCTTCAGGACCCACATGGTAGAAAGAGAACTCATTCCAGCAAGTTGTTCTATCACACACACACACACACACACTTTGAAAACAGAAACAGAATCCCATCTTCCCACAGCTCTGGAGGCCAGAAACTGGGAATTTATGTTACTAGGTCACAATCTAAGATGACAAGGGTAACAGAAATGGCTCAGTAGGTTAAGAGTATGTTCCTTAAGCATGAGGACTTAGTTCAAATCTCCAGTGCCTACCTACTCACCCAACACTCCAGCACTCTGGAGGCTTTGACAGGGGATTGCTGTGAGCTCAAGGACAACCTGGGCTATATATAGTGAGTTCCAGGGTGGGGGAGGGTATATCAAGACCTTGTCTTAAAAAGCACTCCAGCTGGGTGTGGTGGTATACACCTTCAATGCCATCACTCAATGGACAGTTCCAGGACAAGTTCTAGGCCAGCCAGGGTAATATAGTTCCTGTCTTAAAATAATAATAATAAAATGAAGAAGCATCACTAAAACTAGGTATTGTGGTATATATAAAGTTCCAGCATTTACATCTGGACACAAAGATGCATGCCTTTAACCTGAGCATTCTGGAGGCAGAGGAAGGTGAGTTTGAGGCTTGCCTAGTCTACTTAGTGAATTCCAGGCCAGGGATACAAGTAAGACCCTGTGTAAATAATAATAATAATAATAATAATAATAATAATAGTAATCCCACATTTGTAAGGAAGAAACTGAAGCAGAAATACTATACCAAGTATATGAGATCTTGTCTTAAAAAGCAAAAAGCCTTGGCCGGGCATTGGTGGCGCATGCCTTTAGTCCTAGCGTTTGGGAGGCAGGGGCAG